TAGGAAGATCCTCTGTCTGGAGACTAGCTGCTCCTCTCCTGGAACTGACTCAGCATGCTGCCCTCCGCACCTAAGACCCCCAACACACACCTACACCAAAGACAGCGCACAGCAGGAGCCTCTGATTTCTTAGCCCTTTAAGACCTCTGCAAACCTCCCATTATTTGATGTTTAGGACTTCTTTTAGACTTCCTCTCTGGGGGCTCCACTCATTAGCTCATTAACAGCTGCTTAAATGTCAAAGGAGAAGTTTCAGCACAACTGGGCCTACACAGTCTTCTCTCCTCCCCTCCTCCTTGCAGTCTGGGATCCCATGCCACTCTCCCCTTGTCCTCAGTCTCTCCGGAGTCAAGGAGGAAGAACTTCTACTGGCCCTCCCCCAGCCACAGCTCACCTGGCTCCCATTCTACAGATGAGAGCATTGAGGCTCTCAGAGGCCAGGGAAAGTGCCTATGGCCAGACACAGAAGTGAGCAGAGTTGCCAGTAGGAACCCATTTAGCAGTGAGGCACAGAGTTCCAGAAACAGACAAGAGTAAGTAGGTCTAGAACTCACACCTCCCAGTCATGAACCTTCTGTGGCTTAGCCACGGTGGTGCATGCTGAGCCTGAGCCTGGCTTTTTGATGTGGCACCATTTGCACAGTTTCTTACAGAGCCCTGTATCAGGGCTGGGCCTCTCAAGCCACCCAGAGACATAGGCTAATGAGGCTCTGTCAGTAGTCTGAGCCCAAGAAATAGGAACCCAGAGGGGGAGACCAGAGCCCTGGGCTATGGAAGCCCAGCGAAGAGAAGGTGGTGGTGGCCAATGTCCAATGTATTCAGATATTCAAGGTCACATCTACAAGAAGATGTAAGGGGTTATCCTAACAGGAAGGGAACCCTTAACAGCAGGATGCAAGGGTGACCCCTACACCAAGGACGATCTCTAACAAAATCATTCCTAATAGAAAGGGGACCCCTGATGATGGAGACCTCAAAGACCCCAGCACCCACTTCCTCTCTCACAGACCCACAGCCAGGTATACACACTCCTGTGCAGACTCAGATGACATCTGCTGTCACATAGATGGCTAGATAGATAGCCTTCATGTCTCTGACTGTGGGCAACTGAGTTCTCTTAGCTTCTTGGGATACTATCCCCCACCCCCATGCTGACTGAACTCTGGCCAAGGCCCCTCCCTTCCTGCTCCCTTTCTGTAAAGTGCTTTGCTTTTTTGGCATTCAAATCTGGCTGTGCAGAGGACTGTTGGGAAATGCTGAACTACCAGTGGTGTCAAGCTGGTCAACCTTGGGTGGGAGGTTGGCTGAGCTTTGGCCTTGCCCTGGGCTAGCAGAGGGAGCCCTGAAATTGCTAACTGGTTGCCAGGCAACCAAGAGAGAGCTTGTGGGGTTTCTGTCTCCACATGATGCACACAGTATCTTTGCACAATTTTGATGCACAACTACAGTAACTACAGCAGTGCACAATCTTGCACAAGGCCAGGGCAGCAGCCAGATACCCGGGGCTAGGAAACCAGTGGGGCAGGTAGACACACCTGCTTAGAGAATCCCAGACTACCCCACAGATGAACAAGTCCACAGAGTCACGCCTGCATCTCAGAGTCTGGCATCATCTGCTTGCTCAAACAGATGGATCCACCATGGACAGATACACTATGCTCACACTAATGTCCATGCCCTTCCACCATCCAAACACATGCTCCATGCAGTCAGGCCCTGGGTACCCTCCATCCCAGCCTCTCCTGCCCCTGGATGCATACAGACACCCTCCTCCTCTTATATATACCTCAATACCCTTCACCCCTCCCGACTCAACTCTGTCCTGTTCTGGGGATCTTGGATGCCACCAGGGTGGTGGGAGGGGCTCAGAGAGGGACACATGATAGAGGATCAGAGTTCATATTGCTGCTGTGAAGAGGAGTCCGCTCCAAGGAGCCTGTATCAGCACAGGCTCACAAAGTAAGAAGAAGAGGGGCTGTCAAGCTAGCATCTCACTGCCCCATAGCCTGTGCTAGAAGCCACCAACAGAGCTTTCAGACAGTGGAGGTTCATACACACTGCTGTGGGCCCAGTGGCCAGCCCTCCTGCCCTCCCCTGCATGGCACATTCCATGACCCTCATTCACCATCCTTCAGGTGGCCTGATGGGGCATTCTTCTGGGCATCCCTTTTATGTCACAGGATAAGAGACCCCACTCTATGGAGTGGCTTTGGATGTGACAGTTCCTTGTTTGGAGGTGGTGGGGGCTGTACTGTACAGAGTATGTGGACCCTCGCTCTAGCCTCCCAGTGCCAGTGAGGCACAATCAAAGATTCTTAGATGCTCCTTTGACAAAGCAGTGTGTAACCCCTGCTCCCCTTCTTCATGTTGGGACGTGGAGGCCCGAGAGACCACACAGCAGCTGAGCAGTGTCCTAACTGATGCTCCTCCTCTAGCTCCTCTCCCACCAAGCTGGAGCCAGAGACAGGGAAAGCTGGATAGCAAGGGGTGGTGTGCTCCACAGCATGCTGCCCACATCAGCCCTGCAGCGCCCTTGCTGTGATCCAGCACCACTGTGAACAGATCAGGCTGCAGGTGGCAGATGGTAGAAATAACCACTAGGGTATCTTTGAGGCCTAAAACTTATACATACCATTCACGATGCCCTGGCTCCTGCTGAAGGAGTGACTCCCCCATCCTTTTCCCTGCCTATGAATCTAAATAGATTGTGTGTGTGTGTGTGTGTGTGTGTGTGTGTGTGCCCCAAAGTGGATCATATGATAACGCCCAGATCCGACCCACCTGGAGGCCTGTGGGCTTCACAGCTTCCTTTGCTTTTCCCAAGGCTAAACAGTTTCTGAGAGCAGCCTTGGAAGTCTCTGAAAACTGCAGGGTCTTAGTGTCTCACTGAACTTCCTCTAAGTCCCTGAAATGAATTTGCTCCCTTTGGGGTTTGGGGATTTGTTTAGCTTTATGACAAGGTTTCATGTAGCTCAGGGTGGCTTCAAAATCACTATGTAGCCAAGGATGGCCTTGAACAGCTGATCTTCCTGCCTCTACCTCCCAAGTGCTAGGATTATAGTCTTGTGTCACTACGCCTAGTTTATGCGGTGCTGGGGATTGAACCCAGAGCTTCACACATGCTAGACAAGCACTCTACCGATTGAGCCACACACCCCAATCTCCTTTTCAAGACAGTAGAACATACTGGTGTTTCTGAGGTGCTCAGCAGAGTGCTGGACGCAGTAGGGACTGAGTGAGCTCAGCCTGTTCCTCTGCTCAAGATGTTGATTTTTCTTTGTTGTATGAAGTCTCTATGCTTCCAGGAAGAAATATTTTTCTTTATTACATAAAATATATATTCATTGTTGAAATAATTAGAGAAAGGTTTTATAAGATGGGAGAAAGGAAAATGCACTCACTGACCCCCTGATCAGTCAGAGCTCTTCAGGGAGAAACCAACAGGCTGAGATTTATTTTAAGGAGTTAATGCACATAATGGAAGCTGGCAAGTCTGAACTTGGGAGAGGCGGGTAAAGCAGGCTAGAAACTGAGGCAGAATCCCTTCATCTTCAGCAGGCCTCAGCTCTTTTTCCTAAGGCCTTCAACTGATTAAATGAGGCCCACACACACCATCCAGGGCAATCTCCTGTACTTACAGTCAGATAATTATAGATGTTAATTACACATAAAATGCCTTCATAACAGCGTCTAGATTAATATTTGATTGACTAACTGGGTACCATGGGCTAACCAAGCTGACCCAGAAAAGTTATCCATGATTGTTAACATGCTCCGAGTCTTTCTGGATACTTCTATTGATGAATCAACTCTTCATGAGATTGATATAACATGTGGAACTTTGGATTCTTGTTTTTTCTTTAAAGCTGTCCACACCTTGAACACATCTTCCTCTGGCTGAAACAAGCACTCAAATCATTGCTTTCAGTAAAAGTCAGAGCTGAGGATGTAGTTCAGAGGTGGCATGCTTGCCTGGCACACATGAGGCTCTGGGTTCCCTCCCAAGCACTGTCAAAGGCAATCAGAGCATTGCACTGCGTCTTCTGCAGTGTGCTATATGTTGGACACCTGTGTTGTTTCTAGCCCTTTGCCTGTTGATTTAAAGAATATAGCATGATACCCTCCTGACACGTCTCTGTACACAGCCTCCTCCTTCTCCAAATGACAGCCACTGGACCAGCTGGAGTAAGTTGCTTCTCCCACCAGTTAAGCTCTACCTGGGGGATAGTTCACAACCAGCAGGCGCTGGCATAGGGAGAGGGTACAGGAGGCCAAGGCTATCTCCCTTTCCTTAAGGTGGGGTGACTCTTAGGTGCCATTTAAACACTCCTCGGGCTTTGCTTCCCTAGGACAGTGGCTCTGGATGTTTTCTTGAGGGCTGACTTCTCCTTGGAGACAGCAGTAGACTCTGTCTTCTACTATGCAGCTGGGGTATTTCTAGGTGAAATACCTGAAAAAGAGTCCCCTGGTATATCTGCCCTTGCAGCCTGTAGGTGTTGGTCTTGGGTCAAAAGAGATTTTCCTGGCTCAAAGATTTTCCCCCTAAAGCCAAGCACAGGAAAAGAAGGGCTTTGAGCTTGAGGAAGGACAGGATGAGAGGACACTTCTGGGCGCTTTGCTTCCTGGGGTCCTCTGGTGCTGGTGTGTCCCTTATTGAGAATGTGACAGCTCCTCCCACTGTGTTGGTTTCCTGAACAGGGTCGTCCCATCATTGATATTGAGGCATGAGGCACAGGGATGCTGACAAGGAACAGGAGGTAGGGTGACCCACCAAATACTCATCTCAGTCACCTGGGCTGTTGACAGAGAAGCCAGGACACAGAAGATCCTGAGTTCATTCACTGTTGGCAGGCATGCTCTTTTTCTGCTTTTGCTTCAGCTCGCTGTGTGACCTCGGGCAAGAATCCTGCCTTCTCTGGGCTTAAACCGCCTAGAGCTTCCTTCCAGAAGATGGTTCTCCAGTCTAGGTCTAATGTCTTGTTTTCCCTCTGGCTCTTCAGATGGAAGTGCAGTATTCCGAGGCTGTTTCCGCAGGCCTGACAACCTCTCCTTGGCCTTGCCTGTGACGGCTGCTATGCCGAACATGTCAGTGGACAAGTGTGTGGATCTCTGCACAGAGAAGGTGAGCCCCAGGCTCTGCTCACAGCACTCGGGCGCAGGGGACGGTGTATGGAGCCGCTGATCAAGCAGGAATCTGGGCTAGAGAAACAGCAGTCACTCAGTCACTCTGGACCATTACCTGTGATGCAATTGAGAAGTGTTATCATTTTTGTGGATCCCAAGGGATAGAGCCACACGGAGTGGACAGCTCTCCCTCTGAGGGAACATGTGCTCATGGTGTGTAATGCTTAGAAGCCTCAGTGACATTTGCACTAGGCTTAGAAGCACTCAAAGGCTGCCGGGTCAAGGCAGAGACAACCTCATGTTGGGACAGAGTGAGTTCCCTGACTCTACATGTATGTAATCACAGGCAGGGATGCCCTGGAACTTGGAGCACCACATAGCAGTTGGATGGAATGATCTATGGGTCCTTTTCTCAGCCCGAGGTCCTTGATGGCTGACTGTTGCCCCCTCCCGTTGAGTGTGGGATGTGAGCACACTTCTCCACAGCCATTCTTGCATCATGATGCCAAATTTCTCCTGAAGTTTAACTTTTAAAAAATCTAATTGAACAAAAGGAATCAGATAAACAAATAATCAGTACAGGTACCTGGATAGAATGAAATCACCAAGGTGGTCCCTGCTGTCAAGGGAAGAAGATGGTTGGGAGCAAGCCCTGCTCCACAGCAGAGCCCAGGGCTGTGCAGGGACTAGGTAATTCTTCCTCTTTCTTTCTCCCCTCACCCCAGGAGTACCCCCTGGCAGCTCTCGCAGGCACTGCCTGTCACTGTGGGTTTCCTACCACGCGATTCCCTCTCCATGAGAGAGAGGATGAGCAGCTGTGTGCACAGAAGTGCAGCGCTGAGGAGTTTGAGAGCTGCGGGACCCCCAGCTACTTTATTGTGTACCAGACACAGGTCCAAGGTAAGCCAGCCCCCCCCCCAGCAGACTCTAAGTAGTCTCCTAGAGGTCTCCTTTTGAGTGTGCTCTGGCCAGTCTGTCTCCTATAGCCTGACGCAAGGAAAGAAGTGAGCAGACCAGAGGGCAGAGGGTTGGGCTAGCCTTAGAGCCCTTGGGTGGGTGACAGAGGAAGTGTCTGAGGGGAGATTCTAATGATCCTGTCCCTCATCACTGAGGAGTCTTAGTGTCTTTTTGGTACTCACAAGTGCAGCAAGATTGAGTAGAAAGGGAGCCCTGGGTCTCCTCTTCTCCAACACAGACTCAGTGCGTGATCCTGGACAGTTCACTTCCCCTCTGAGCCTCAGTTGCTCCATCCGTAAAATGAAGTTGTAGATGGTTGATCGTCAAGATCCTTTGCAGTTCTGGAATTCTGCAAATGTATCTATAGCTTCTTTTTCTCCCTCTTTATTCCATCTCCTTTGCCTCGCTGGCCTTTCCATCTCTGTACCTCTTTTACCAGTAGATCCCACATTTACTGTTTATCTCCTCTGCTGCCTCTTGGGGATGCCAAATGTAGTAATGATGCCAGTGATGATGATGGTAAAGATGGTGAGGATGATGGTGATGATGACAGTGATGATGGTGGTGGTGGTGATGATGGTGATAGTGGTGATGAGGGTGGTGGTGGTAATGGTGATGATGAGGGTGATGATGATGGTGGTGTCTATGGTAATGGTGATGGTAGTAATGGTGGTAGTAGTGATGATGTTGGTGATGGTGGTGATTATGGTGATGGCAATGAAGGTGACGGTAGTAATGATGATAATAGTGATGATGGTGATGATCCTCACCATTAGGATCGTCACCATCACCACCATCATGATCATCACCATCATCCCTATCACCCCCATCATCTCCATCATCATCACCTCCACCATCATCAAATATCAATCCCAGCATAGAAACACCAGCCACCCATTGCACACTTGTCTTCACACCCAACTTCAGCTCATTCCATGATATAAAGTCCACAGTAAGCCATTGACCAGGGCAGTATTATCCCATTTTAAAGATGATTGAGGGGTGAGGACCTGGCCACAATTACACCCTTGAGAGCAATTTGCTTTCAGGTCTCTGTCTCCGAAGCCCCTGCTAGAATCCTCTCCCACAGTGGAAAGAGCACTCCCAAACTCTCCAAAGCCTGAAGAGCAAACAACACATTTTGGGCAGACTATCGCCTGCTTGTTTCCTAGCAACCAGGCCACCATGTTGGACATGTGCAGACATTTCAACAGGAAAAGTGATACCTACGAGCCAATCTTCATTTTTCTCTTGCACCATGAACCCTAGAAGGAAGATGGGCATCAGTTTGTGATTTTCATATAAGTGCTGAGCAAGTAACTAGCAGCTCCCAGCAACCAGTCCCAATGATTTGATGTTGAGTACCAGAGCCTGGGGAACAAGCACCGTTGGTGTCTCTGTTTATGCTCCAGTAAGGAAGGATGAATGTGTGTTAGTTTTCCTAGGAAGCATTCGGTAGTCTGGGCAGAGTCGCATGCCCTGGTCTGGAGGAGAGAGTCTTGCACAAATAAATTCACTGTGACCATGAGCAGCTTTGCTGTGGCCCTGATTGCTGGAATCTTCTCAACAGCAAATAAAGAGACTCTAATTGATGGCTGTGCCCATTTTCAGTGCCCTGAACCTAGTTCATCGCTGCTCAGATTTCTCAAGTCACTGTAGCAGACCCTGTAGCCTGAGAAGAGTTGAGTATTATGAGTCCAGCAGGCTGCCAAAATCCTGTTCCTCTGTGGCTGTCCTTTATTAAGCACCTACTGCATACTAAGCCTTGGTGTTCCTCATAGGAACTAAATAATTTTCGATCTGTGTGCTGAGCATTGTTGATGCCCTTTGCGGGGCTTAACCAGTCTAACCCTCCTGGGGTCCAATGAAGTGCTGTAATGACCATTTTACAAGTGACGTAACCAAGCAGAGAGCTGCACAACACTGCTAGCACCACACAGCTAGAACAGGACAGGGATTCGAAGCTAGGCAAAGAGCTGCAGGACTATCCTCTTTCCCTCAGCTTCTCAATGGACGTCCAAATACTTCACTTGAATTTCCTGTTTGCTTCTCTTTCAAAAATGAGGAAACCACAGCTCAGAGCGGTGAAGATGTCCAGTGTCAGGCCCTTGAGGGTGGAAAGCTAGATCTGCTTGGTTCCACATCTGTGTAAAATCTGCCTGTATCTCCTGCTTCCATTCATGGGGCTTTAGGAACAAATAAACTTCCATTTAACACTTTATCTCAGATTTTGCCTTAGCCTCCCAGGAAGGTTTGAAAGGAAAATTCTGTTTTCAGGGGAAATGAAGGGCCAACCCTGCCCTGTAGCCACACCTTTATTATGAAAAATTGTCAAGGCTCAGAGGGAAAGCAATGGCTTTCACAGGGAGCCCCCATCCCATCACTTCCGTCTGCTATTTTACTTGATTATACATCTCTCTGCCTCTCTGTCCCTTGATGCTCCTATTTCCTGGTGTTTTGAAAGAAGTTGCCAAACCCCATTCACTTCCATGGAAGGAGAGGCACTTTTTTAAGTGCAGTGGTCCATGACCACTTGGCACCCCTCACCCCTCTAGTCCAGCTCTGACAAGAACCGGATCTAGGATCCTTCCTACAGTCTGTTCCTGTGGCTTCCACGTGGAGGTCTTTTCGTGGATCCCACGCTGAGTCTGCTCTCTTGGGAGCAGACTTGAAGATTGCTGAGCCACTGGCAGGATGGGATACAAGAACAACAGTCCTCTGGGCTCCTGTAGTGTGGGCCCAGACTAAGGCCTGACACTGGCCAGTTTACTCTTCATTCCATCAGGCCAGCAGCATTGCTTAGCTGTCCCATTTCACAGATGAGAAAATTGGGGCCCAGATAATCAAGGTCACCCAGAAATAAGTGGTAGGATTAGTGTTTAAATCTAGGACTTTAAATTTTTCAAAAAGCTGTCATGAGAAACCAGTGTGGCTCATCACAGGATGCCAGTGCACAGCAGCTTGCAGGAAGCCTACTGTTCTGTCTCCAGGAGGAATCAGAGGTGTGCGATCTCCAGGGGAGCTTGGGCTATATCAGGGCAGGAGCCGTTGGGGACCTTTGAAAGGACTGCAGTCTAGGAGAAAGAAGGCGTGAGCAGGTGGTGGGACACACGGTAGAGGGACAGGGACAAGCCCGCCAGAAGTGTGAAGGAGACAGGGTGGTGGTGGCCAAACTGGGACTTTTCTAAGTGATGGGGCTTTTCATAGTTACATGTCAATATAATCGAGTTAGGGAAGGGGTCAGGGGAGGATGGGGAGATGGAGCAAGGTGGATTCACTTCCTGGAAGTGAGACCTCAGGAGGAGGAGGGGTTAGGGACCTGAGCAGGTAGGGAAGGCTTGCCCACCTCCTTGTTGATTGTAGATAAGGTCCTTTACCCAAGGGGAAGAAGACAGCCCAAGGCACAGGCTGCAGACCTGCATCTGGGATTCCTTCCATCCCTGCTTAGCTCCAGAACCCAGCATAGGTCATCCCTCAGCTATCCTGACAGCTTAGAGACCAGAAGGAACCAGAGTGCCTTCTGGCTCTGTTAGGGATTATAGGGGAGAGATGGGGTCCAGATAGATGGGGTTCTCAATTCAATCAAGTTTAACCACTGCAACAACTAACTGCACAAACACCGTCCTGTAGCCCGTGTTGACAAAATATGTATACAGTGGCCATTCCATAAGATTATAAGGGAGCTGAAAAATTGCCATCATCTGGTGTTTGTTCAATGCAAGGAAGTTTGCTATGGTGCTTCAGGGCTGCAGCCCTGAGCATGCTAACATGTGGTGTGAGTGTGTAGGCCAGTGTGTTGCAGGCTGTGCCCTCTAGGTGCATGATAGTGCAAAGGCACCTGCTAATGTATTTCTCAGAATGTCCACCTTTAGTCTTGTTTCCTTGTGGTGCTGGGCACTGAGCCACATGGCCCAGCATGTGCTGGGCAAGTGCTCTACTACCAAGCTGTACCCCAGCCCCTTTTATTGCTTTTTCTTTTGAGACACAATGTCCCTAAGTTGCTCAGGCTGGCCTTGAACTCACTCTGTGTAGTCCAGACTGGTCTTGAAATTACCACTCTTTTGCCTTAGCCTTCTGTGTATTGGGATGACAGGCCTGTGACACCTGGCCTGGCAATGTCCACCTTTGAGGAAATATCCCGTGACTCTAATGACTTGAATTACAATCATGATAAGCAATAGGAAGGGGATGGACGTGGTGGGTAGTAATGACAACTCATGAAGCCAGGGAAGACAGGAAGTGCCCATGCAGCCCAGCGCTACAGGGACAGAGCAGGGAAGGCAGGAGGCAGTGGGGGCCACATGGCCTGGCAGGCCAAGGCAGGGGGACATGAGATGGAGGGGGTGCCAGTGGGTGGTGGAAGAAGTGAAGAATAGGTTGGTGAAGCTGAGCCTGGGAGTGTACAGAGGCCAGCCACAGACTCTGAGGCAGGGTCAGGACCCTAGACTGGAGTCCCTGTACCCAGCCACCATCTGGGGTTTGAACACAGAGGAGACGGTGGAGTCTCTGTGGGAGACTTGCTCAGCTTGGGGACAGCTGAGGCTGGAGAGGGGGTTCAACCTCCTCAGCACAGCCTGGCACTTCCCCTCTTCCATATACTACCTTCCCTCAAGGGCATGCTGGCCCACTGACCCCTGCCTGTCCTCCCCACAGACAATCGCTGCATGGACAGACGGTTCCTTCCAGCCAAGTCCAAGAAGCTCATTGCTCTTGCCAGCTTCCCGGGAGCCGGCAACACGTGGGCTCGCCACCTCATCGAGCTGGCCACCGGCTTCTACACTGGCAGTTACTATTTCGATGGCTCCCTGTACAACAAAGGTGAGTGGTGGAGGGCAGAGGAGGGCAGAGCAGGAGGCCTGCAGGGCTTGAGGATGGCCACACAGAAGGGTGAGGGAAGCCCCCTCTGAGCACCTACTGTGTACAGTTTTCCAGGACCCATCAGTCAGGGCCTGCTATCTGCCTCCTGCCTTCCTTTCTTTTATATCTGACATAGCCCCTGGGGCTCCTCTTGATACCTCCTCTGTGCCTGTTCAGTGACTGACATCTATTAAGTACCTATCATGGCCTTGGTACCTTTCCTCCATTTAGGTCACCTTAAGCACCTACTGTGTACTGGGTACCTTCACAGGTAATACTGACCAAGAGCTCTATGCACTTTATAGAGGTCCAATAACTGTGCTCATGTTGAGGGCATTTGTTGACTATTGACTGTTTACCAGGCATCTTATCTACTTTTAAGTTGATGCTGTTTGCCTGTAGCATGCTTTCTTTTGAAGCTGTTACTGAGCACTGCTTTACTGGAGATGTGCTTCCCAAGTGTGGCTTTGCAAAGTGCATTTACGGAGCGCCAGCTGTGTGTCAGGCACCTCACGAGGTTTAGCTTCCCACAGATGTCACTGAGGCCAGATGAGAGAAATAACTGACCCTAAAGTCACAGTTTTTCCAAGTGGCTGTTTGTCAGAGATGGTGCCTGACAGTTTCCTGATTTCAAACTCCACATTCTTATCACTCTAGTACGGATGCAGGAAATCCATGGGTTTCTTACTGGGGACCTAGAAATCACAGGTGGCACTGGGCACAAAGCCCTCTCCTCAGAATGGGTTTACATCTCTGTGTGGAGCAGTTTCCACATTCTTATCACTCTAGTACGGATGCAGGAAATCCATGGGCACAAAGCCCTCTCCTCAGAATGGGTTTACATCTCTGTGTGGAGCAGTGCCAAAGTGTGAAGTTTAGCAAAGAACCCTGCTTTGTGAAGTTTTAAGAAGGGTTCGGAGGTTCTGCTTTCCCTTGGTAGCTTGATCTCCTAGTACTGCTTGTTGAAAGAGAGGAAGGAGAAACAGCAATCTAGATGCACAGGGCTTCTCACCAACTCTCTCCTGGGAAACAGAAGCTTCAGAAAGCAATGTCCTCCATAGTGTGGAACCTTGGGTAAGATCCCATCTCCCTGAGTTTAGCTGCCTTGTCTTTAATATGGGAGGTCAGAGCACAAGTAGAGAGCACAGAGGGAGGCAATTTCGGGGACACCACAGTCTAAGCAAACATGATCTAACTAACATGTGGCCAGGATAGACAGACACCTAATCAGAATCATAGGAAGCTGGTCTCTGACTATGTGAGAGTCACCAGGAGCTTCTAAAGTCTCACCACTGCATTGCTCCCTAGACTAGTCTCTCCAGAAGTTCACATCTCAGGATTCCTTGTTTGAGCCAAGCCACATCTGAGACTCTGGCTGAAAAGCTCACCTTTGCCCTGTCTTCATGCACTCTGGTATCACAGGACAGCCATGTGTCTTAGTTACCTGCTTCATCATGGTGACAAAATACCCAACAACAGCAACTGAAGGAAGGTTTGTTCTAGGTCACAGTTCAAGGGTACAGCCTGTCATGGCAGGAAGTCATGGCGGCAGGAGCATGAGGCAGTGGGTCACAGGGCACCCACAGTCAGGAAGCAGAGGATGCATGCTGGTGCTCAGCTCGCTTTCTCCAGGGCCCCAGCCCAGGGGATAGTGCTGTCCACATTTAGGGTGGGTCTTCCCCCATCAGTTAAACCTTTTTGGAAACACCCTGATAGACACACCCAGAGGTGTGTTACCATGGTGATTCTAAATGGAGTCAAGTTAATGATGAAGATGAACCATCACACAATGACTTATCAATGGGGTGAGGCGTCCACTAAAATTTTAACTTGGTTTTTAAAAAGAAGAAAACACAAACCCTGTGCGCCAGCCCCCAGCCTAAGGCCTGTTTTGATCTGAGAAAGGCAGAGTATGGCATCACAAGCAGCAGAGGCTCGGACTGTGGTTCCAGCTTCATTCAGGATTTAACATGCTGCCTGTAGGAGCAGCCCTCAAGGTGACAGTAAGCTGTCCTAGAGCTGGGGCTGGAAGTGAGGTGTAAGCAAACAGGGGACCATGCTGTCCCCCAGTAACTTCAGTCAGCCTGGCTGTCCCTCGAATCCCCCATCAACACTTTTGCAGCTGAAAGATGCTGACTGTGAGGAAAGTTGTTAGAATCAGGAGGCAGAAAGGAGCAGCTCTATCCCATTGTCACTTGGGCAGCAGACAACGATGCTCAGACAACCTCAGCAACATGAGCTGCCTTTTTTTGTAGGGGGATTTGCGTGCACATGTGTATGGGTACATGTGTGTGGAAACCAGAGTCAACCTCAGGGATTGTTTTTCAGGCACTGCCATCTTGGTTTTTGACACAAGGTCTCTCACTGACCTAGTCATGATTAGGTCAGGTGTCCAGCCATTGATTTCCAAGACCCTCCTGCCTCTGCCTCCCCAGTGCTGAGATGACAAGCCTATGTCACCTGCCTGCCTTTTTACATGGGCTCTGAGGATAGAAACCTGGTCCTCATGCTTGCTGGGCAAGAACTTTATTAAGCCATCTCCCCAGGCTAGGCCCAAGCTCTTTACAATGTGAAAACACAACAGGCTGTCCTACAACTTGAGTCCTTTCCAATCCCATCTTGTCCTTGTTTAGCATTGGCTGAAGACTTGCCCCTTGAGCTGCAGGTGGCCATTCCTGGCAATGTCTCTGGCAGACTGAGGTACCCTTATCTCTCCTCCTTCACCACAGCCCTGATGAATGCATTCATGTCACCACTAATGATAGGACCCACTGTGCACACCCGGAATGTCTCTGGCTTTCTTGACTCAGCCTTGGGGTGTATGCAGGTGGGCACGGGAGACAGCAGTGCCCCTGGCAGGAAGCAGAGAGTGATGAATACTGCTGCTCAGCTTGCCTTCTCCTCAGTCTGGGACCTCAACCCATGAATGGTGCCACCCACGTTTAGCGTGGGTCTTCCCACCTCAATTAATCTAATCAAGAAGTTCCCTTGCAGACAGACCCAGAGATTCGTTTCCATGGTGATTCTAATCCCGAGTTAGCAATCAAAATTAACTACCACACCATGCTCCTGTTTTATCTCTGTGTCTGTTTCTGTCTTTCCCTTTGTCTCTACTCCTCCATCTCTCCAGAAACCTGTTCCTGCAATTCTCCCTCCCTGCAGCCTGAGTGTATATTCCATCCAGCTCTGTGGCCTGTTAGGAGCCAGAACCAGACTTCTGAGGGTGGGGAGATCATAGAGAGGGCCTCATGGTGGACAGGTCGGTGCTATAGCCCACAGGACTGGGCAATTGTGCAGCCCCTCAGAGCTGCTAGAGGTTGCCGAAAGGGAGGGGAATTGATGAAGTGGGCCCTCAACCAACACAGTACAAGGATTTCTGAAAACTGCCTTGTCTCCAAAATCAATCCTATTATTCACAGGAGCACAAGCCTTCGGGGTGTCCAAGCCTCGAGGCTATATGGAATTTTCTGGGTACAGTAAACAAGGCAAGTGAAGATGTAATATCTCTACCACCTCCCTTCTCTGTGCCTCAGTTTCCCTAACTGCAAAATGCACTGTTATCTACAATATTGGAGGTATGGGAGAGGAGGAGAAGGAAGTCATGTCGTATTTTCTCTGAAGCTCTGAGCACACGTTTTTGGAACAATTGCCTGGCACCTCCCCAGAACCTGAGTGTCATATGCCTGCAGGACACATGCCCCCAGATAAACTGATATTTTGATGACTCTGAAAAAATTATATATTTTATGCCACATTTAGTCTGGAGAGATGGCTCAGTGGTTAAGAACACTGGCTGCTCTTGCAGAGGACCCTGGTTTGGTTTCCAACATCCACATGGCAGCTAACAACCGACTGTAGTTCCAGGGAATCCAACACACTCTTCTGGTCTCCACAGGCATTGCACAATATGAGTGCACTTACATACGTGCAGTTAAAATACTCATACACATAAAAATAAAATTTTTAAAAATATGCCACATTTATGTAATGGAGGTGCTGGGGCTTGTAGAAAAGAAGGGTGCAGAAGGGACCCCCCCACCCGGTGGTGGAATCTGGCAATTCCACTCTGGCCCCAGGCTTACATCTCAGATTCCCTAGAAGACCCTCAGTGACCCAAATCTAATCTAGAGCAGGTGTTTTCCAAGGAATATGGTTTTTATTGTTTGCAATTATTTTCAGCCTCCACAAATACTGCATGCTAGGTTGGTCCTGCCATGGATAAAGGGAAGGGCAATTCAGGTCTCCCGAGGCAGGGAAGTGACTTTCAAAAGGGAGTTGGGTATTTTCTTTGGAATTTGTTTGTTCGGTTGGTTGGCTTTGCTTTCTTGAGACAGGGTCTGGCTCTATAGCCCAGGCTGGCTTCAAATTCATAGCAATCGCAATCCATCTGCCTCAACTTCCTGAGTGTTGGGACTGAGATGTGGGCCACCACACCCCACACTAAGGCCATGTTTCCAAGGCCAGGGGTGGGAAGTCCTTGTCTAGGTTGTTCAGAATCCCGCCCATGGCATGCAGGCCATGAAGCTGTATGCAGGGCTGCAAATGGGTAAACACTCACCTCCCACACTCCCTCTCAAGCCCCACACCCTAGTCCTGGAATACTAGGTCTCCTTGAGCCTTGATAGCTGTAGGTAAAAATCAAGTCATAGGTGTGGACCAGCCTGAATTTGCAAGGCCAGTATAATCCTGGACTTGACCCAGCCAGTGCCAGGATGGAGTTTAATTCGGGAAAGCACATGCCATTCTTGCCTCTTATGCTGAGAGGCCCTGCAAGGGCAGCCACAGCTCTCTGGGCCCCTGGAATAGGACCAGGTGGCATGCCAACTCTCACCTCTATCTGCCTTAAGAGCTGAGCATAAGTCATTATTACACGTGTGTGAACGGGCCAAGAGGGAAGACACTGGGAGGTTTCTCTGCTAGAATGTTGCTGAGACTTGTATTAGTTCTTTTAGTGTCATTGTGACAGAAACTGATAGAAGCAATAGAAGGGGGTGATTTATTTTGGAACATGGTTTCAAGGGATCCAGTCCATCACTGAGGGGAGGACATGGCAACTGGGGCAGCATGGTTCCTGGCAGCGGGAGTTTGTGACACAGCTCATTCACACCTTAGAGGATCAGGAAGCACAGGGTGGTATTGGAAGAAACAAGGCCTATCCCCAGTAACCACTTCTGCTAGTTAGGCCACAATTCCAAAGGTTCTAGAACCTCCCAAGATAGCACTACTGGTTAGAGACCATGTGTTCAGACACAGGAGCCTAGGGAGGAGATTTCATATTCAAACCATAACATTTGCTCTGCACTAGCTGCTGTTGACCAGTTTCTCACACTGGCTGTGTAAAGAGAAGATGCAGATAAGAAAATGTGATACAATGTCCACATGGACAGGCATCTTGGAAAGAGCCAGCATCTTGACAGCCACACTTGACCTTCAAGATCCACCCACTGCCTTAACCCTCAGAAGGAGGCCTGAGGGGGACCGACACAGTCTCAGGAGCCTGGGTGACCTGGGATTGTGTCTCCCCTCTGCCTCGCCCTAGTACCACAGCTTGGGGAAAGTTGTCATTTGACCTCTGCCTTGGTTTCCTTATCTGCAATGTCCCTCAGGGGACCACTGGGAGGACTGAATTGCATAATGCTTGCTGAGGGCTCCAATGAGATCTGGCACAGGCTGCTGCTACAGATTTCACCCTCATTCCCCAGGGCACACAACCTCTGTTAGGTCCCCAGCTTTCCAAAATGAAAAGTTGCTAGTGTCCCTCCCTCTTGCCTAGGGGCTGCCCTGTCTTCCTGGTCTAGCTCTTGACCTCTTCCCGGACTCGCCCACAGTCCTTTCCATCTACACATGCCCCGCTTGCTCTCTGTGTGCGCTCAGCAGTCCCTGTGACACGCTCACCCCAGGACCTACCATCTTGGTCTAGCAAGTTCCTCCTCAGCCTTCAGTTGTCAGCATTTCTTGACCCAGAAGGACTTCTCAAATGCCACCCGACTAGCTCTTGATTTTGACTGGGTCAATCACTCCAGGTTGAAGACTAGGGCCATGTCTGTACCTCAGTGGGTGAAGGTGTAAGCTGGACCCAAAGCTGAACCACCAGGATGTGTCTCTCTCAGGCTCTGCTCCCCACACCCAGGCATCGATGCACCTGTTCGGTAGCACTAAAAGCAGCTGTGACTGGACTTTATAGTTCTGTGACATCCTCTGGTTAATCTCATTCTCAGAAGCAGTGTGAGCCCCGTTGCTGCTATCCGAATGTGGGGTGCACAGGCGCTCAGTGCGCTCATGCATGGGAATGACTGGGTGAAGAAAATGAGCCAGCAGTCCTCAGTGGTGCAGGAGGGGGTTTGCTATCCGAATGTGGGGTGCACAGGCGCTCAGTGCGCTCATGCATGACTGGGTGAAGAAAATGAGCCAGCAGTCCTCAGTGGTGCAGGAGGGGGTGGACTGTGCTTCCCGCTCCCTAGCTCCTCAACTTCTAACTTCTGGTTTGGGGGTGGGGCAGGGTTCAAAGGTGAGCGAGACCACTGGCGCAGCGGGCGGACCATCTGCATCAAGACCCACGAGAGCGGCCAGAAGGAGATCGAGGCTTTCGACGCGGCCATCCTGCTCATCCGCAATCCCTACAAAGCCCTCATGGCTGAGTTCAACCGGAAGTATGGAGGCCACATAGGCTTTGCCGCCCATGCCCACTGGAAGGGCAAAGGTACTGCTGGGGACCAGGGAGAGGAGCCTGGGGCAGGGCGAAGCGGGGTGGGGCGGGGTCATGGTGTGGGGCACATGACCCAATGGTGACCATGGTGACCAATGAGCGGTGATCGCTCTAGGAGAAATGTAGGGCGCATGCACTGCCACAGCTCGCTGGGTGGCTAAGCCCCTACCCCACCTGCTGCTGAGTCCATCAGCTAAGGATGCCAGCTGTCTAGTGAGATTTGGTTGGTTCAAGTCCCAGCCCTTCTACTTCTTGGCACAGCTCTTAACTTTCTGGACTTAGGTTTCCCCAGCTATAAAAGGGGATGATAAAATTGTGGGGTGCAAGTGGCTACACCTTTTATACTCATTATGGTTATGGAGATGTTGCCAGTAAAATTCAGGCCTCTCCTGAGTGGGGGTGGGAGGACAGGGCCTAACAGCTCTTGTACCCAGCATCACTATAGTGAGCACACCAGTAGCTCTGGTCTGTAGGGCTCAGAAATATTAATAATCTGCTGGTCTCCCCCAGCTGGCCAGTGGGTGTAGGTTCAAAGTGACCTGGGTTTGACAGCCATTCATTCCATAGATGAAAGGCCAATGCAGATGGCTGGGCAGTTGCAGAAACACAGAAGTCAGCCTCGGCTTCTGGCATCCCGAGTATCCTGAACTCTGTGGGAAGAAGTCATATCTAGTTTCTGGTATCCTGAGTGTCCTGAACCCTTCCAGGTCTCAAGACCCACATTGATTCTTTGAGGCTCTCCATACCTCTCAAGAGACTCATTCTAACTGAACATTTGAGAAAGGGTCAACTTCATAATCTCTAAAATAATGACCGCATTTAAAAGCTGAGACAGGGACTGGAGAGATGGCTCAGTGGTTAAGAGCACTGGCTGCTCTTACAGAGGACCTGGGTTCAGTTCCCAGCTCCTACATGTCTGCTAACAACCATCATTAACTCCAGTTCCAGGGCACCTGATGCCCTCTTCTAGCCTCCATGGGTATTGCACAACACAGTGCAGTAACGTACATGCAGGCAAAACACACAAACATGACACAGGTGCACTTACTTACATGAAGGCAATACACACATACACATAAAATAAAAATAATAAATAAAATATTAAAAAAAACTTTTAAAAAAACATTCAAAAGCTGGGAAAACCCAAGTTCAAGAGG